CACATTCACATCGGTACGATCCACCTTCGTCATAGCACGTTCCATTGTTCATACATGGCGATGATGCGCACTGAATTATACACCTTTCAATGTAAAACCTACATCAATTCCTTACTATCTATGTTCGCATAACGAGAAGCTGCTGTCTAATTCACAAACCTGATCAATTCGCGTCTCACAGAACTCGCCACTATAACCTGGCTTGCACACACAGCTGAACGAATTGATGCCATCCTCGCATGACTAAAAATTAATGGCAATATTCTGGGTCGGTTGCAAGTTGTAAAATATGACGCTCAGAATATGACCGCTTGGTCTAAAATCGGGGTGCCATCCGGTAAGGGGGGAGGAAGCGCATGTGGCGCGACTGACGGCTATCGGGAGCAGTTCATTTTTCGTAGGAAAAGGAAGTTCCGGAGTAGGTGTGGAAGCAGAAGCAAAATACTCCATACAAATCGAGAATGTCCTCCTCCGAACTGCAGTTTCTGTAGGCGGCGGCTACTGCCGCACCACATACCCACCCGTACCGGATGAGACCCAAAAAAGTTAAAGTCGAAAAAAGATTACTTTTCCCTAGGAACAGAACTTCAGCAACTTTAGGGCATGTTAAATGAAGCAAGTTCAAATGATAAATGCACGGGTAAATTTAAACACATATTATGAAGTACTCAATAAAAATAAGACCTATATTAATAAAACGTCTCTAAAAGTCAAAATCACCTCAGTTCCTTTCTTATCACAACGCCCCTGGACACACTCATCCTTATTATGTTCACAGTGGGTGCCATCGAAGCCCAACGGACAAGCGCAATGATATGAAGCACCGAGATTTGTGCAGGTGGCTGAAATGGGTCCTCAATCAATAATACTGTTTTCAAAGGCTTTACCAGAAAATTTTTGGATTGGAACTATGTACTCACCATTGTTCCTACAGGGAGATGTTGCACAGTGATCGACCAAATGTTGACAGTGTACCCTCGATAGCCGGCTGGACATGAACAGGAGAATCCAGCGATCTGAATGATAAAGAATTACAAAAAAATAAACCGGTGCCGGGTTAGCCCCTTTCAAGAACAGTGAGTATCACGACCAAAGTGAAGATTTTTTTCAAGAGTAAAAACAAATCTTCAAAAAAACAACTTTCATCACTGATCCGATGGCTCACCTCATCAGTGCATGTTCCGCCATTTTGGCAGGGTTGTGAAGCACAGTCATCGATGTTCACATCGCAGTTCTCTCCCGTCCAACCTTCATCACAGACGCAACGCCGAGCGAACAGCGTATCCACACATAATCCATGGACACAAGGTGCCGAGGCACAGAGATCTTCTTGAAAAAAAATCAAGATCTCAACATGTCCACAAGCGTTTTTATATGGTCTAGTTCTCAGCTCTCTGACATGTCGGCGGGTGGATGATTTTGAGGGCCACCGCAGACGAGACAGACGTATATACGTGGACGATATTGCTCGAAGGACGAGATTACGATTCAAAGGCACCAATTAGAATTAAAGCAACAATCCAGGAACGAATTCGCGGGTAAGGACCACCTATAATGACGTTGCAGGTGAGAAGTTGGTCAATGGAGAAAGAAAAAGTAGAAAAAAACGTCGGGCAGGGGCTTAGACAGGGACTCCCCCCTGCCGTTTAGCGATGGGGGAGACGTGTGTTGGACGAGTTGTCCGAACCTGCCCGCAGTATATGCGCTCCCATTGCAACTGCTGGCGAATAGCCATGCATGCTTGCAAATACATGTCTATTTGCCAGCAATCGTAATTGAAGCGCGTTAGTTGCGTACTTATAAATAGAATCGACATCATACTGTGGGGGGGCCCCCCAACGACAACGACCGCTAGTCGAGCACGCGCTCTGGGGCCGGGTGCAGCAAGCCCCAACTAGGGGAGGGATCCCCAACCTTGGGGATAC